CGGGCTCCAGGCACCCCACGGCTCGAACAGCCTGGGGGGCCCCTCGCGGACGAGGTGGGTGCGGTCTCAGCGCCTCCGGGAGGAGCTTGCCTGCCCTGGTTCCTGACGACCTTTCCCAGTGTGGTCCCCAGCTCCCCGAGTCGTCCAGCCAGGAGTGGGGCATGGGGAAGGGCAGACCCTCGTGGTTTTTAGAAATTTTGATTAGATGTCTTTAAAAAAAAAACCTAACAGACTTACTGAGGTAAGTGACATACCACACAGTTCGTCTCCTTAAAGTGTACTGTTCAGCCGGGCGTGGTGGCGCACGCCTGTAATCGAGCTTTTAGGAAGCTGAGGCAGAAGGATCCTCGCGAGTTCGGGGCCTGCCTGAAGTACCTAGTGAGATTCTATCCCCAAAAAACAAAAAGTAAAATAAGGTGTACTGTGCAGTGCTTTAGTACATTTACAGGACAGCACCCCTCACAATGTTAGGACGTTTACATTATAACCTCTCTCTCGCTTGAAAATAACGCATCGCATTTCCCACACCCGCAGCTCCCGGACCCCAGCCTGGGTATTGCACTGCACGCAGCTGCTGCTGTCTCTGCGGGTTTGACTCCTGCGTTCCGGACTTTCCGTGTAAACGGAAGCATGACGGCCTGTGGTTCTTTGTGACTAGCTTCCTTCACTTAAAATATTTTCAAGGTGCACCCATGTGACAGCGTGTATGGGTACTTCCGTCCTTATAGCTGAATAATATGCCACTGTATAAATACTTTGTTTATTCATCGCTTAGTGGACATTTGGATTTTCCCCAACTTTTGGCTATTACAGACAGTGCTGCTCTAAATATATGTGTACAGGTTTCTTTGTGGACATATTCTCATCTTTCTTCGGTAAGTACTCGGGAGTGGAACTGCTGTGTCAAATGGTCACTCTACATTTAACATTTTTTTTTTTTTTTTGGAACTGCCAAACTTTCTCACCATCTGACATTCTCACCAGCAGCAGGAGGACTGTTCTGCTTCTCTACATCCTCACCAACCCTTGCCATTGTCTGGCTTTTTTTTTTTCAAGTATAATCATCCTGCAGGTGTGCCTATCTATTGCTTTAATTTTCTTGAGATAGAATTGATACTATATAAAACTCATTGTTTAATCATATACGACTCAGTGTTTTTTAAAGCGTAGTCACCCTGCTGTACCACCGTCACCACTATCTAATAGGGAACATTCCCCGGCCTCCGCCCCTTGAGTCCCGCCCAACCCTGGTATCCATTGCTCTACTTTCTTCTACGGCTTTGCCTAATCTGGACATTTGAGATAAATGGAACTGTGTAATATGTAACCTTCTGTGTCGTCGCCTAGTGAACAACATGTCCATAGTGTTTGGAAGGTTCATTCATGCGGTGGCATTACTAGTACTGTACTTTTTTCTTCTTATTACTGGAGGATATCCCACTGTACGGGCTGAGTGCTTCTAGAGCACTTGATGTCCTCTCTCGTTCCCTTACCCTTCCCGGCCTGAACAGCAGTGCATTGGCCCGGGACACACGACACTTTCTGGCGGTTATATCAAATCCATTATAATGCAGAGCTAAGCTTGAATTATTTAGTGAGGCTCAATAAAGAATTTCTACCTATTTCTTAAAATAGCCTGCTTAGTTTAACAATGTAGCAGATGTGATTCATTGCTTAGGTGACTTTGTGAAGTTGAGAATATATTTATAGTTTATTGCAGGTTTTTTTTTTTAAGGAGGGAAAAGAAGAGATTTACATGTTGGTTAAAACATTTGTTTTTCCTTTAATCTTCAGAGTACCTTGTATAATTATCAATAGTTTTTTTTAAAAGAGAGCAAAAAAATTTTATTTGCAGCAAAACCAGCTAATTTTGGAAACGTTCGGGTTATAGGTGTGGCATATACAATTAATGAAGACAACAGCAAGGCGTGAGGCTAAGTTTTCTGTATTTAAGGGTAGTAATTAGTCTTCTAAAAAAGAGAAGGAAAGAAAGAAAAGGTTGCATTTTAAATTACTGGGATTTTGTTAGAAGTTTAATTTCAGAAAGTTCAAGTTTTACCCGCATATTTCAAAATAATGTAGTCATGCTTGCTGCTGAATTATGACTAAAGTGCTCTGTTAGCTCATACTTCATCTTTATGTGACATTATACCTCAGATACTTTTATTTAAGGCTTAAAAAATATTTTGAGATAATTTCTGTTTTCCCACATTCCAAAGTCCATAAAGTGGAGGGGAAAGGAGAAGTGTGTGTGTGTGTGTGTGTGTGTGTGTGTTACCTAAATACCCAAATGTGTTTTATTTGTTTCTCAAGGGATCCCTACGTGCAATTCTCGAGCACTGTCTTAGGAGCAGGTATCTAATGGCTGTGCTGGTCAGGACAGCTGAGTTGTGCTGTGGTTGCCCCTCAGATCTCACTGGCTTTCTGCAATAGCTCTGCAAGACATCTTCCCTGTCCTCCTTCTTGGAGGTCCTCAAAGACCTCAGCGGGTTTGGTGGCCCCTCCAGGATAGCCTCTTGCTGTGCCATGGTGCTGGGTGGAACCTTAGAGCAACAGTCCTGCCCTATCAGCCCGGAAGCCCAGGGAGCCCGGAGCCTTTCAGCCTGAATTACAGCCAATTCTTTGAATCCGTGGAACATACCATAAAGTCTCTTTGAACATTGAAGTGGTGAGTCCAGAACTGTTGCTGGTAGGACAAATACAGAATTAGGTTTTTATGAACCTCTGCCTGCCATATTTCTATCAACCAATTTATATGTAACCTGGATTTGTGTGTGTTTCTGTATAAAATGTCTTATTTAAACATACTGTTCATTTGTTAACAATGAACCCACAACCACCTTGATAACCCAAGCCTGAGTGAAGCTTCTCTAGCATTTATTTTCTCAGTGAGGGCCCTAACAGACAGACTTCTTACACTTGGAAACCTGGATGGCATTGCGGCACCAAGCCCAGAGGTCATTTTAAACAGTCAGATCGCCAGCCTAACAGCAGCAGAGATGCAGCACTGAGTAGACTGTGGACAGGACAGTGTTTAGGCCAGAGGAGAACTGCGGGAAGAGGCGGCCAGTGACTCAGGACTTTGCTGCCCTACGCGTCTGGGAGTGACTGGCGAGAGCTGTGGGCATTGATTGTGGAGTCACAAATATATTTTTAGCAAGTAGGAAGATTTGCAAATACAGACTCTGACTAAGGAGGCTCAAGGAGAACAGCTTCCTGCAGTAAGTTCCGTAAATTGCTTCCATCCCTATTTGGTTGGCCAAAGCAAGTTTCAGACTTTGACTAACCTGGAGTAGGGGCGGGGTTGTGTGCAAACGTGAGCAGGCTGTGTTCTCAAAGGAGAACTCGGTGCTTTAGAAAAACACTGTCCATGATTCTGAGTCACTCATTGGTTATTGACCCTATGAAGAATTTATTTTCCATAAAGTACACTTCAAAGATACTTTATTGCTATGAATTTTGTGAGTGCAAATACATTGCTTCTAAAAAGGTCATGTATGAAAGTTTTTTTTTTTTTTGCATATAGTGAATTTGTTCTAAAGTTCTTAAAAATAATTTTAGGGACTCCCTGAAATCTTAGTTAATATTTGGCTAATTTACATTCTTATTTTTATCTCTATAGGAATTTAAGTTACCCTTTTTTTTTTTTTTTTTTTTTTGTGGTACCGGGGATTGAACTCTTGACCTTTCACTTGCCATGCAGGCACTTATACCACTGAGCTATATCCCCAGCCCTAAGTTATTCAGGTTGAAAAATATTTCCAGTAAGTAGAGCTTGAATTAATGGCATTTGCCATGAGTTATCTTAGTTACTTTCCAGACTGCTTCCATTTGGATTTTAATTGTTTTAAATATCAAGTTAAATACTGGTTTTTGGCCGGGTGTAGTTTTTTTGTTTTGTTTTTTTGGTTTTTTTTTCTGCTACCGGGAATCGAACTCATGACCTTGCACTTGCCAGGCAAGTGCTGTGCCACTGAGCTAAATCCCCAGCCCTGGATGTGGTGACGTATGCCTGTAATCCCAGCACTCAGTACACTGAGGCAGGAGGATCTCTGCAAATTCAAAGCCAGCCTGGTCCACAAAGTGAGTTCTAGGCCAGCCTTAACTGCATAGTGAAGCCCTGTCTCAAAAAGACAGAAACAAAACAAAACAAAAAACCCTGTATTTGGTTGTTGCTTAAAAAAAAAATGATTTCCCAGAGGTGGCTGTGATATTATTTCCCATCCAACCTGTTGCTCCCATGGCAGGGCTTTAATATATGCACCCTTGCATCTTCTTAGCTGAGGTCCCAGAAGTCAAGGAGCAGGTGCCAGCTGTCCCTGCAGCATGAGCAGAATCTATGAAGATCAATTAAACGGCCACTTTTATGATGCTAAATTGGGGGTGATTGGTATGTTTTCTAGAAACAACTTCAGACTATTTACTCCGAATCAGGCCGTGGTAGGTGTTGGTGGGTTTTAGCGGTGAATAAGAGTTGGTCCTGGTGTTCACATGTCTCACTGTCATCTGTTCCTCTGAGGTCATTCTCATCCCGCACCATATTTATAAGTTTGGTCATTTTTGCTTTCCATTGTCTCACCGTGATAACTCTAAAGAAGGT